CCTGTCGGTACTGCAAAACGGCCGGCAGGTTCCCGGGGATATTGACGGGACAACACCGCTCCGGGGCGGCGGGAAGTCTTGGAAAGCGGGAAGCCTCGAACCGAAAAACTCAGGCTTTGGCGCTGACAAGAGCCACAAGCGAGCTCGCGAATGAGAGAAGGACTGAAGCGGGCTGGCTCATAGACTGGCAGGATTCCGACCGGTCGCGGGACGGAGACTGGACGGGTACGGGGACGCTGGAGTGAACCCAAAAACAGTGCGGCTGAGCTGCGGAGGCCGATCAGAGAGACGAAGGCAGTAAGGGCTCCCTTGTCGAGCCTATCAGATGTCTCCGGGGCTCAGCATGGCTTTTGTGCTACGCCTCACCGACCCTGGCTTGCCAGTGTGGAACATGATTGTATTGTCCACCGTCCTCTGGCAGGCGGCGGGAAGCCTACGTCAATGATGTTTCGCTGTTTCTGATTCCTAGAGCAGGCACACCAGGTTGACTTGGCGATTAGTGTTGGCAGAACGGAGCCAATGTTGACGTCGGCAAGGCTTTCTCTGCGGAATATCTAACTGCTTGTTGATAGACATTCTCGACACCGACTGATCAGCAAGCAGCGGCCATTGGCGACTGCAGCCGGCGTCTTCCTTTTGCATTGCCGATATGGAAAGCTCAGAAAGGATAGCTTGAGTTTTTCGTTGGTTCACTGCTTGTTGGCGAGGGATGCAAGGCCTGGAGGTTGGATGACATGACCGAATCCTTTGCCCCACTTTGCTAAGGCAGCTGGGAGATGTGCATCAGCATTCTGTGGAACAATTGAATTGCAGGGCTCCCGGTCCGGGTGGGATCTCCCCGGGTATCGTATGCAAATGGCTTTCTTCTCAAGTCAGAATGTTGTTGGGAGCGGACGAGACGGCATCTTCGAACGACGGCTCGAAGGGATTTCTGTGGCTCGGAAGTTGTCGCCGAGGAAGTCGCACATTTTGGCAGGTCCCTGCCTGCCGTCCCGAGCAATTATTACATAAGAAACACATGGGGAAAGAGGGGCTCACGCCAGTGCTCTCTACCTTACACTACCTAGGTAGGTGATTCGAACCTAATCTGGCGGGGTAAGCACGAATCAACGAAGAAATTGAAGGAGATGGCTGGATGGAATTCGGCGTTTAAGAAAAAATAAAGATAAGGGGGAAAAGGTACACCGCCCAAGCCAACTGCACCCCTCCCGAAGCCAATTCCCAGGACAAAGGACCGGTTCGCCCTGTCGACCGAAAGGAGACGGCGATTGTGCCACGATTTTGATCAAACACTCGAGGGAGAGAAAGAAGGGTGGACCAGTGGCCGCCCTATTCATGAGGGATTCCATGATTGACTTTCACGGCTGCTTCAAGCTGAAGGAGTCGGGAAGCCTGATGTTGCTGGTGGCGGCGGCGGTAGACTGCATGTGGTGGGTTTCTTCCTCATGGAATCCTGAAAAGAGGTACTTCAGCGGTACAACCAAGAAGGAGGAAAAGTCCTACAGAAAGTCCTGCATCCCAGGGCCACACAGAACCTGTGAGACCGTGCCGAGCCACGCTAGGTCTGTTTCTGTCGCGCGTATTCCACAGCAGGTCCAGCATGCAAAAGATACTTTGGCCGTCAAGGGTCCGGCGGGCTGGCATCGCAACTCGGCTCGCGGCTGGGATAGACGAAACCAAGACGGGGTCCCACGAGACGGATGCTTATTTCTTTGCTAATGGAATGATGGTTGGAATCATGAATCTTTCGCAACCTGCATACCGATGTCGCGTTGGGCGTCAATTGTGGCCGTATTCTTTCTGTTGCTGCGCAATGATGCGTACATGACCGTCTTGGCCAACAAGCCAGTTCAGACAACCGAAGGCTTGCAGTAGTTTGTCGGCAGAACCGCAGCCACTGCTGAAGTTCCGCGAGTTATCTTGGAATAGGGTACGCAAAGTGAGGAGGAAGGCTGCCACGGCACGCTGATAAACAAGGGTCTGCCGCATCTTCGCGGGATGGACAACACAATTCCCTGCCCTGAAATCCTTAACTCAACCTTAAGCTGGTTGCTGACAAAAGGGCGCATCCAACGTCCCGGGAACCCCGTGTGTCGTCTCCACGAGAGTCGCAGCAGGATCTCCGCGTCCCTGTCCTTCTTTTTTGCCGTCGTCGCACTCTGTCAGCTGTCAGACATGTCCGACGAAAGGACAAGGTTGAGTTTCTGGGCATCGAAATTGTCTTGTTCCTGAATGTCATCAACGACAACTTTAAGCCTCTCTGAGAGCGAGAGTTCCTGTCTGGCCTCTCGGTACATGGTAAACTTCTTTCAACTTCTCGGGAAAGCGAGATGAGACGATTACTACGACTCAGATGCTTTGCTCGGCCCGTCGCCCAGTCTTCGCCGTATTGGGCGGTACAGGAAAGCCGTCCCTCCCTCACCACAGACGCCGTCCAATGTCTGCCGCGTCTGATACAGGCACCAAGGACGCAGTCTCAAGACAGGTGTCTGGTGTAGATAGAGGGACGCAGCAGGTTCACTGACAGGACAACGGCGATAGAGACAGGACGAAACCAACACTACTGTCTGACCGCTCAAGTCCTGCGTGTAATCCGGTGTGAAATCTGTCGACTGCTCGGCGCAGGGCAACGAGCAAAGTCCTACGAACGTACGAACGGTGCTTGCTGACGAGGTAGGCAAGTGAAGTAAGTACCTCGCGCGTACATGCGACGGATAGTACAGCTTTCTCCACCGGCACCGGCACCGCCCATCCAACGTACGTACCTTGCGTTTGGTGGTAGGTACCCAAAGACGGGACTCTCGCGCTGCAGGCTGCAGCCAGAAGGCCAGTTTAATTGTCGCGAGCCCAATCCAGTGGCAGGCGGCGGCGGCGTCGCTCAGCCTTACACTGCCCAGAAACGAGCCGGGGTAAGTCGTGGGAGTGGTTCCTCCACCTGGCGCACCCGCTGGCTGGTTTTAGTGCCGTCAGCTGCTGGCGCCAGTCCAGCCACACTACCAGGCGGGAGGTGGGATGTAGGATGTAGGATGTAGGCACCTAGGGAAGGTAGGCAGGTAGAGTCCCTGCAGAAGCATGCGGTGAGATACTTGCGGCGTCCTACAGCTACCCCACCCCGCCACCTATCGCGGAGGGAGCACAGGGCAGCTCAGCACCATGGACGGCTCCAGCAGCTGGAGGTGCACCGGCAGCAGAGAGCACAGCGCTCACGCTGCAAAACACGACGGGACACAGAAACGAAGCACGGGAAGCAAGAAGTAGAGGCAGGCAGGGCGGCAGAGGTAAAACAGCTCGAGAAACAATGCAAGCAGTTCCTCGGTTTTGATTTCAGAGTGTTCTGTCCGTTTGTCCGTGTTGACGGTCCCCAATACTCGCTCCAGAATCTCGTATTGCCTCTCCCTCTCCACTATGAATTGAGGTACATGCCTACCTTAGGTAGGTACAGAGAAGGTGCCTCACCAACACCAACACCAGCAAACAGCAACGGCCAACGGTAACATTATCATCATTGTCAGCATCCTCCAGCCCGATCCTCGATCCCCAGCGGCAATCTTGTCCGTTGTCGGGAACAACCATCAGGTCTTGTGCATAACATTTATTCTGCAGTTATTTACGGCAACAAACGTTCGCTATTCCGTCCACCTTGTTGCACAGAGATCGAATACGTGCAGAGGTATTCCTCGGTCCAGTAAACTCGCTTTGCCTCCTCCACCTCTCCCAAACCAAAACTTGACACATCCCGGTCGTCCCATCCCGCCTTCTGCTTTCGCTATTCGTAAGGTACCTACTCGACCTCTTCGTACCACCGTCCGCCGTCCACCGTCAGTCAATTCTCTTGCACGCGCCTCATACAACTAACTACCTGGGTAACTTCTTCTTGGACAATACGGCTCTATTGAAGTCGTTCGCTGTCTGTCGCACCGCTCTCTGCACCACCTGCATCATCCCCAAAAACGGAGGAGAATCTCATTCAGAAAAGCGAAAGCAACAAGCGCCGGCCCACGTCGTCCACCTTGCCTTGGCCTTACGGTGCCACACTTACTTCGGCTTCCCTTCCACAGCCCACGCCCTCGTCGCTCCCCCTCGCTCCTTCCCCCCGCCAGGGAAGCGAGAAAAAAAAAGCAGCACACGGCCCACGAATACGGCCCACCCCCTCCACCCCCCATCCTCGTTCCGTCGCTGCGTCTGCGTTGCGTTGCGTTGCGTCCACCTCGCACTCCTCACGCTGCTGCTTGCTCACCACGGGTCCCCCATTCCTAATTCCCAGCCCGCCAGTCCAATCCAGTCCAGCCCGGCCCAGTGCACATTCTATTTTCTCACTCCTCACTCTTTCCCACACGTTCTCGTCTGGTCCATCCGATCAGTCCTGTCAAACAGCCCCCAGAACCATACCGTCACAGCCCGCCAACCTGTGTGTGCCTAGTGCAGAGAGTCCAGAATTGCAGACTGCCACCACCTGGGAGAGAGACAGAGAGAGACGGAAACGAAGTAACAGACGGAAACGAAGAGAGAAGGACAAGTCCTGAGCTACCTACAGAGGCCCGTCCGTCGTCCTGGCTTTCACCCACTGCCTGACTCTCGCTCCCGACTCCCGTCTGTTTCCCGTCTCTCACTATCCGTCCACACGGCGCGCCGTGACTTGACTGCGACTTGACCACCACCCCCTCCCCCCAGCCTACTGCCTGCTCCATCCCATCCTTACCTTACTTGTCTTGTCCTGCCCATCCTGTCCTGTCCTGTCCTGTCCCGTCCCCAGAAGCAGAAGCACAGCACAGCACAAGCACCGGCAGCAGCAGCAGCGCCCACCTCTGGAGGAGTCCTAAGCCCAAGGTCTAAAGCCCAAGCCTGCGCCCAGGACCAGCCCGGCGAGACCACCACCACCACACGGCTGCAACCCAAACCGAATCGATATACCCTCTGCCTGTCCTGCCCACCTGAGGCCCGAGTCCCTTATCCTCTCCCCTCTTCCCTCCTCTTCTTCCCTCCTCCATACCACTTCCCTTATGAGCTTTTCCAATTCCCGCCTGAAAGGCTTTGGTTTCGGTAAACGCAAGTCAACTGCCAGCATCCAAACGCCAGACCCGAACCAGACCCCAAGCCCGACCCCTCCTCCCCAAGGCCACCCGTCCGGCGCCCCTCAAATACCGCAGCAGATCCCCGTTCGTCCTGGCTCGATCGCCTCGACCTCTTCCGCCTCTATCGCCCCTATGAATCACCCAGGCGCCGGGAACCGACCACCGAGTTATTCGGCAAACTACCCTCAAGGCGGCCCTCCTCCCATCGGCCGCACAAGCCCGTTGACGAACCAAGGCCCGACGAGAACCCCGCCTAGCCAAATGGTCGGCGGTCCCCCTCCCATCAACACCGGCGCTCCCGTCGCCGGATACCCGCCTCAGCTCCCTCCTGTCGGCGGTCAAGGACATCCCATGGGCGGTCCTCCTCAGTACGGCGGTGGCGGTGGTGGCTACCCTCCCCCGGGTCCTCCTGGCCCTCCCGGAGGCCCTATGGCGCAATATCAGAGAGGCGGCAGCGCGGCCGAGGTTGAGGGCAACAGCAGGAGCAAGGCTCAGCTGATAGTCGGCATCGATTTCGTACGTGGACACCGGAGAGAAGTGCGGGGGTGACCGGGCTTGCTGACATGACTGCCAGGGTACGACGTTTTCCGGTGTGGCTTTCGCGTTCGCCACGAACAACGAGGCTAAGGAGGATATTATTACGGAATGGCCCGGCGCCGGATCATACACAAAGCAAAAGGTTCGATCAAGGAGGCACTGAATCAATGCGTTCAATCGCAGCTGACAAAACTCGAACTAGATTCCCACCGTTCTCTACTACGATCAATACCAGAAGGTTGTCGGATGGGGTCCCGATATTGCGGATGCCCTCGCGCCTACTGGGTACCCGAAACCCGGCGTGCAAAAGGTGGAATGGTTCAAGCTGCAGCTGATGCTTTCCGGCAACACATATATCGACCCCATCAACCTGCCTCCTCTGCCTCCTGGCAAGTCTGAAATCGATGTTGCGGCCGACTACCTCTTCAAGCTCCGCCAGGCCATGCGCTCTGCGCTGCAGAAGACGTTGGGTGAAGTGTTCAACCGCGAGGAGAGAAACATTCGGTACTACCTGACAGTGCCCGCTATTTGGAACGATGCTGGCAAGGCTGCCACCAGAGCCGCTGCCATTCAGGCCGGTTTCCTCCGAGACGAGAACGACAACCGCCTTACCCTGGTTTCCGAGCCCGAGGCGGCGGCAATCTTCTGCTCCAAGACTGGCCTTCTTAACTTGAAGGTTCACGACGCCGTTCTGATTGTCGATTGCGGTGGTGGTACGGTCGATTTAATTGCCTACGAAGTCGAGGATGAGAACCCCTTTACGGTGGCCGAGTGCACGGCTGGATCTGGTGACTCTTGCGGTTCAACAGCGCTCAACCGTAATTTTAGCAACATTCTGCGCACAAAGATCCGCAAGATGAAGCTGCCCGACGGATCCAAGACGGCCGGCCGTGTGTACGCCAAGTGCATCATGGATTTCGAGAACCGCATCAAGGCCGACTTCCGTAATAACGGTCAGAAGTGGGCTGTGGATGTCGGTATCGAGGCGGAATTCCCCGAGGCCGGTATTGAGGAAGGTTACATGACCTTCACAAACGAGGAGATTCTGCAGTGCTTCGAGCCTGTCGTAAACCGCATTCTGGAACTCGTCAGAAACCAGATCATTGCCATCCAGGCTCAGAACCGCACTCTGCAGAACATTCTGGTTGTTGGAGGTTTCGGTGCCTCCGAGTACCTCTTCCAGCAGATCAAGCTCCACGTCCCTCCTCAGTTCCAGTCCAAGGTGGTGCGTCCCATGGACTCCGTCGCTGCTATCGTCAAGGGTGCCGTTACTGCCGGTATCACGGAGCGCGTCGTCACCCACCGTGTTGCTCGTCGTCACTACCTCATGGCCACTCTCCAGCCCTTCAAGGAGGGCTACCACCCCGAGGCCTACCGTGTGCCGTCCCTCGACGGCAAGGACCGTTGCAAGTTCACCAGGCAGATTTTCGTGCAAAAGGGCCAGAAAGTCAAGATTGGCGAGCCTGTCAAGGTTTCCTTCTTCAGACAGGTTGCCCCCGGCGCTACCCTCATGTACGAGGATATCCTCTACGCCTGCGACGACGATGTTTGCCCCGAATACACCAAGGATCCTCGTAAGCGTATTACCTTCACAAATCGACACAGCACTTGCTAACCCCATGACAGGTATCAAGGAAGTCGTCACTCTGACCTCTGATCTTTCGCGCAAGAACCTCGAGAAGGACTTCGAGAGGATGGACACACCACAAGGCACATTCTACCGTGTCTACTTTGACATTTACCTGACTCTTGACGGATCCGAGTTCAGTGCAGAACTGGTCTGCCAAGGCGAAGTCATGGGCCGCTGCAGAGCGCGCTTCAGGTAAAAATGGCGGATTTGGGGGGGAGAAGAATGATAATCTGTTTGCCGGCTTGCGTTGGGCATTTCGTTTCCATACACTCGGATGATACCTCGAAAAGGTGAAGGAGCAGGAAGGACAGCCGAGGCTAATAATGGCCAAGAGTATATATCTTACGAAGAGACCTCCCAGGACTCACTACTGGAGATGAGAACTGGACTCTGGGAGGCTTTTATTACGACACTGAAAGATGATGGCCTGTGGTCCACTGTAGACGCACGACATTCCCAGCATGGGACAAATCAAGTTTATTGAAGACCAAGAGGTTGCAACCAGTGCCCGTCTGGGACGTGCAAGGTTATTTTCCTGTCTGCGCGTCTGAAGATATCGCCGGGTCGATGCAGGGTCGAAGTCAACGCCAAATCTTGGCCAAGAAATAAGCTACGATGCCCGGCACAACTCTGTGGGCTTCACTCTGCACCACGTGGTGAGTCAACGTTCCCCACGTTGGCCCTTGACATTCTCAATGGCATCTAAAGTGATATGATGACGGCGAAAGAGCAACGATACTGAGGCTGTGTGTGAGATAGAGGACAGCTCATAGGAAGGTACAGTCCCACAGTCCGGCGGCAAGGCAGTACTTCTCGCGCTGACCGCTTCTAACAATCCTGGGTACAGCCACATCAGCTTGCAGGTGGAGCTGAGGCCAGAACGGCGCGGGGCAATAAGCCAAGCAGGGAAGGCCCCGGTCGTTGGCCACCCGAAATGGACCCTGCAGTTCCAACGGGAAACTGGGCAGCCAGTTGCACCTGCGTCATCGTCTGAACATGAACCGCTGAGAGGTTCGACCCAAGGTCCGGCCCTGCAACTGCAACGTCGACAAGCGCCGGCGGGCAGGCGACGATGGGATGGGCTGGTACTCCCCATCGGCTGCTGTTGGAGGCAGTGGCTCTCCAGTGCCCCCCCTTTCCATCGTGTGTCGAGGACGTGAGAATGGCGGACAGAACCATTTTCATCTGCAACAACGAGCGTGCGAACCTCTAAACACCCTATCCGCCTCTCTGCATCGCTAGCTCCACGAACACCCTCTTTAAGCGCCTGAAATAGTCGTTTTTACCTTCTGCCCTACGACCCAGTTCCTGATTCATCCGTCCAACCAACCTGCAGCTCCCACCTGGCACCCTCTGACGCTATATCGCGTCGACAGGGATAATCAGGTATTGGCCCTGGATCAAGCAGGCCGATCACCTCTTGGGGCCTCGCCGCCCCTTGCTTCCATTCGTTCTTTCGACGACACGCTGTACGTCACTCGGCGCAGGTCCGTTGCGAGCTATTGGCGGCACCAAATCACCACCTCGCAGAAGCCGCCGGTATATCTTTGCCCGATCGTCGTCTCGCCGGACCATGGAAGCTTGGGGCCTCTGAACCATGAACTGTTGCACCATCCCAGCATAGACCACACCTTTACTCTAAGTCACGAATCGATACCGCTGTTGATTCTTGCAATCATCCTTCTTTGTTTGAAGTGTCTGGGTATTCGACCGCAGACGACCGATACGCAGACAATGAGACAGGTGCCGTCGAGAAAAGGCGACAGGCGCTCAACGGCATCCGGCCGGAACATCTTCGTTGCGCTGGCTCTCGCGTCGCAGCTCCCAGCCGCCAATGCCATCGTCTTCCCGAGCACACATCCGAATTACAAGACCGACTACTTGTCACTGAACAAGCGTTACAACCCCGCCAGGCGAGGCCCGCCCGAGGATTGGAACGGGAGGATACCCTTGAAGATCACAAACACATGTTCAGAACCGATCTGGCCAGGCATCACCACGCAGCACGGCGTCGGCCCCGGCACCGGGGGTTTCGAACTTGGCGCGGGTGAAAGCCGGGACCTGTGGGTCGGTCCGACATGGCAAGGCCGAGCGTGGGGAAGAACCAATTGCACTGTCAATGGAGAGTCGGCTGGTTGCACAACGGGCGATTGCTTCGGAAAGCTTAACTGCGAGTTCAGTGTAAGTGATCATGGTTCGCGCGGTACTGAGAGATACTAATGAGGACAGGGCGCCGTTCCTGCAACACTAGCCGAGTTCAACTTGGCTGGCGGCGTTTCCGGGAGACAGACCTTTTATGACATCTCCCTCGTCGACGGCTACAACATCCCCGTGGGCATCAATTATATCCCTGCCGACAACACCTCGTACATTCCGCCCAACCTCACCAATTGTGCTTGCATCGCCACGGCCGGCCTTTTGTCAAATACCGCAGCAAGTGGTACTGTTTATACCAACTCCACCTACCCCGTCCCGTGGGAACCGACCGAGACGAATAACAGCGCTCGAGACTGGTGTCCTTGGCCCCTTCTTACCATGCCACCGGAGAAGCCTGGTGACGGTGTCTACCCTTACCCCGATGACAACATCATGCGTCCCGACTTTAGCCCGTGCAAGAGTCAATGTGCCGCCACCAACTCGGATAAGGACTGTTGCATAGGATCGTGGCACGACCCCAACAAGTGCAAGCCGGGGTTGTACTCGAAGCATGCCAAATCAATTTGTCCGGACGCTTACAGTTTCGCCTTTGATGACCAAACATCGACTTTCATTATCCCATCCGGCGGCGGCTGGGAGGTCGTCTTTTGTCCGGCGGGGAGGAGTACCAACATCCTTCGCACCATGGGACCCCAGCTTTTCGAGCTTGCGAGCGCCGGATACTTGAGCCAGAAGAACTTGGATCTGGTTAAGAACCTCTCCTACATAGAGTCGCAGAGTGAGAAGAACGCCGCTCCGGGTGTGACGTCCAAGTCGGCATGGGCCGTCTGTGCAGCGGCTGTAACCGCTCTACTGATGGCTATCTGAGCGATTTGGCGGTCTTTCTCTTCGTTTCGACATGACGGGCTGGACCCGCGCAATGAGTCATGTTTTACTTTTGGATTCAAGCATTGGGATACCCTAGAACGAGAACACGAGCCGTGGAACGAGAACTACGAAGTAGACGATAAAGATAGGACTCGAGGGTGTGACTCGACAATGACAAGAGCGAACATTTCCTTCCTTCACGTACCTAGAACTTTCATACCCTGTATCAAACAATAGATCAAGTGTATACTCACGTTTGGATGCCTTGTGAATGTTTTGGTTTGTTTCCTTGATATTGGTACTTGGCATTTCTGACTGTAACTTGGGGAAAGCAGTTGCGTCTTCCGGTGAAATCTTAGTCTCAGGTACGTCGATTTTGGCTTTCGGGTCCGGTATCCGACGCAGTGGCACTGGAACGGCGGCTCCGATCCAGCCGCATGCATCCAGAACTGTTCTCTGCGTCTTGCGTTGACGGCGCTCAGAAACTAGTAACTTTTGTTTGCACTCAGTAAAGATGATCTTCAAATAAAGCGAATCGATGCTTTGATAATTCATGTACAAACCGTAATCTCATACTTACCTCCTTCTCAACCTTCCCGTCTAAGCCGGTACGAGAAAGAGACCCGTGGCCTCCAGACCCCCTTGCATCACTCCGGAACAGAGGACCATTTGAAATGTCTATGATATTTTTTTGTTTTGCGAAAAGACCTCCCCTCGAGGGTTGACGAGACGGCGACGATACCTTAGTCTAACATGTGTTTCTTCCCCCCAACCCTCCCCGTTACGCAACTTGTACCAAGAAATTGACTCCTCCCGTGAATCTGGTTTTGTTTGTACTTCCCGTCCTGTATCTCACAGCTTTGCGTTCCTTCTCCCTCTCTCTTTCCCGAGTAGACCCACCCAGACGGAGGGAAAGCGCGTCCTCTCCAAATGCAAGATATGTCGGAAGTCTCCCCTTCGTCCTCTCGAATGCAATAAAAACTGACGATCCACTAAACCCCAAGCCAGCCGCAGCAGCCTCATCAGCCCCTCCTGGCAGCCCTCTCCTTCCGTCTGCGCTCCCACTCGGCCCTCTCCTCGTCGTCGCTCCCGCTGAACTCGGCGTCGTCATCGCTCTCGTCGTCCTGCACCGGCGGGGGCGCCGTGTGGTTGGGCACCGGGGGCGCCTTGCCCTTCGGGGCCGCGGCGGAGGAGTCGACGTTGATGAAGTCGCCGGCGTTGAGGGAGGCGTACTCGTGCTTCTGGATGAGGTCGCGGAGGGCGGCGTTGCGGGGGTCGACGAGCTGGAGGGCGGTGAGGCCGCCCTTGTTCTTGACGCGCGGGTTGGAGCCGGCCTCGAGCATCATGTCGACGAGGGCGTTGCCGAACTCGCGCTGGGCGGGGGGTTCCGAGTTAATCCAGCGGATGGCGGTGTGCAGGGGCGTGTCGCCCTCGAGGCGGTTGACGGGGTCGCATTCGAAGTTGGGTTGGTCGAGGAGGAGGTCGATGATCTCGTCTACGGGAGGGCGGGTGTGTTAGTGGGATGGACAGACAGTAAGTACATGTGTGTGGAGGAAGGGGTTTGTGGTTGGAAGCGAGTGGGCAGTGGTTGGGATGGGCTCCAGCGTACAGTTACCCCGCGAGGCGGCTTCGTGGTAGAGGTGGTTTCCCATGACGGTGGTTGTCTCGTTGAGGATGCGGGAGAGCTCGTCCTCGTCCTTGATGTCGGCGACGACTTCATTGAAGAGGTCGGTGTTGTTGCGGCGGCAGGCCTCGATGAGGATCTCCTTGACGGAGGCGCCCTGTGTTGGGTTCGGTGTCAGTCTACCCCTCCTTGATGTTTTGGGCAACAGGCAGATCGGCGACATGAGCGACTTACCTCGTGTTCCTCGTTGTCACCCGCCATGATCAGTCGGCCCTCGCGAAGGTATTGACGTCGTTGGGATTCCGGGGGAGAGATGTGTTTCGAAATGGCACCGTGCTGGAGTGGGATGGGTGCAGGTAAGGTAAAGGTAGGTTCGGTTGGTGGGGTAAAAGTTGGGTTCGTTTGTCGGTGAATTCGGAGGAGGGGCTCCTGCGTTGCGTTCGTTCGTTCGTGTAAGGTAAGGTAGGCCTGGCTGCGCTAGGTAGTTTGCCCGTCGAAGAAAATCGCGAAGTGCAAATGTGCCCAACGAAAGGATGCAGATTTCGCGCGCACACAAGGCGAGACAGTTGGACCAGGCAGATGTATATCCCGTCAAAGGTACAGGTGTTCGGCAGTGGTGGTTGGGCCAGATCTGGGTCAAGGGGACGTAATTGGGGGAGACGTGAGGTGTTTGGCTGGGAAGACCCGGGCCCAGGAGGTGGCAGTGAGATCTACCAACCCCTGGAGGCTGTCTTCTTTTAGCGGGTGTGGTACGTAACCGCCGGCGGCTTACAGAGACAAAGGATCGCTGTAACAGCTCACAGTGGTTGGAGTGCCCCGCCGGTAGGCGCTAATTGTCGAGGGGACGGGTAAGGCGGGGGAGTGATGGAAAGGATAGAGGGGCACGGAGATTTATTTGGGCGGGATCCGGCGGGATGAGTCCAGTCCCAAGGTGAGTGATGGATGCCAAGCTTTTCTCGGTGGTGAGTCTTGACCGAGGTGTGACTTCGTCGTCCCCCACCGTCGCATCTCGACCCGCTGAATTTTCTACGATCACGACAATCACCGAGACATGCTTGCTGCGCATTCGCACTCCCCTCAGCAGCAGCAGTATAGCCGCCGCATTATTCAGCCCTCCCGCTAGACACGCTGAAAAGCTCCAGCCGCCAATATGTTGCTTTGTAAGTTCCACATTCTCTCCAACGCGGCGACACCGACTAACGTTATGCCTCGCCAGTCTGCCCCAACTGCGCAAACATCCTGACCGTCTCCGCCTACGCCGGCGTCCGCAACCGCCTCGAGTGCCGCACCTGTCCATTCGAGCACGCCATCACCGAGCCCATCTACTCGCGCCGCGAATTCGAGCGCAAGGAGCGCGAGGATGTCTTTGGCGGTCCCGGCGAGTGGGACAACGCCGACAAGGCGCGCGCGCAGTGCCCCAAGGAGGGATGCAACGGCGACGAGGCTGCCTTCTTCCAGGTCCAGATTCGGTCTGCTGATGAGCCTATGACTACATTCTTCAAGGTACGCTGCTGCTACTTGGTGTGTCTGGGGTTGAGGAGAAGATGCTAACAGAACACAGTGCATGACTTGCGGAACGAGATGGAGAGAAAACTGAGGAGCGCGTCGTCGTTGGTCTACACTGCTTGGCATTGCGTGGCGTTGGGGAATATTCATTTGCTATGTTAGAGGCGCGATTGGTGCGCCTGGGAGAGGGTATCGAGGGGTCTTCTGCCTTAATCTCTCGAACCAGTTTAATAATACCCTGTTGGACGTCCGGCCGTCACTAGCCTTCTTGACGCCATTTCCCATATACCTGTCTGACCTCTGTGCGCCACGTCTGTATTGGCATTGATGTGCATGCCTCTCGCGCTCTTCCAGAACCAGCGATGGTAATCGCCCTGCGTAGGCCGCAGCATGCGGCTGCGGCGCTTCAGGGCTCTGTAGTTTTGACCCCAGCTCTGGCTCGCATCCATTCACCCATAATGCTGAGATCAAATGCGTCTGGTTCCTGCCGCATCCCAAGACATGTAAGGGTCCGTCTGACGTCCCCAGAACGCCGTCGTGAGATTCAACAGCGCGAATCCGCGTCAGTATTGTCACCGTTCGTCCTAGGCCTCAAGCCTCGCTGCGGTGCCACTCCACCGGCGCCTTCATGCCATCTTCAATCAGCCTCGACACGAGATCTGGACTAATGATATCCTGTCGGAACTGCTCCTGCTGCAGCAGCTCGAGGTGCTTGAGTGTAGGGCCAGGGTACATGATGTACTTGAGGTAAGGCGGACGGGTCCAGTATTGGAGGTAGGCGAGGTACGCGACGAATTCGGGGCGGGTAAGCAGCTTTTGGCTGGCGAGGTGGTTGAGGTAGTAAGGGTTCGCGAGGGATTGGACGAACTGTTGGTGCGACGGTTAGTGCTGTTCGCGATGATGGAGGGCGGGCGCGAAGAGGGGGGACAACATACCTCGAGCTCGATCTCGAACCGCGTGTGGCCGCCGTAGACGGGCTCATTGTCTGCGGGCGGCGCGGGCGGTTGAGAGGGTGTTTGTTGGGGTGCGGTGGCCATGTTTGCGGTTGCGATGGCGATTGTGGTGGATGAGGGAAGAAGGTTGGATGGTGTTGACGGGTTGGCGTGGGTGTGGTTCCGAGCTGGGACCAGGGTTCGAGGCTAGCTCTGGATGCCCGATAGTTGAGGACCTTGCTGTATTTCCAGGACGTCGTGGCGATGGTTTACAACGAGTTCTTTGCTGTTATCACGAAAGATCACATAATTTCTAGCAGTGCTTTATTACCAATTGAAGCGTTGAAAAAGAAAATGAACAATTGAAGTCGGCGGAAACAGCTACGCAACTTCAGTGACAAAAGTGCCTCACTAACATCATTTTCGGTGAAGGGTCGGTGAGTTGCAGGAGCTTTCGTGGGGACGCTGCTAGGTCCCCTGCACCAACATCAGAGACACCCTTCTGCAGATCAACACCGAGCTTGGGTATCGCACGGTTTGATATGAGCTTAGTTACGCAGGACAGAATAAATTTATATCTCGGTCGGCATCACAGATTAGATGTTCGAAACAGAAGAAGAAAAAAAGTCAAAAGTTCAGTTCTCGAACTCGTCAGTTCAAGAACCTATGAAAATCCAACCAAGACGTCTCTTGAGGTTTTCTACCATTCTTTAATCGGACCGCTGGACTAAGCGGGACGGAAGAGGTGGGAGGGGGTGTCTCTCGACCGTCGGATGACAGCAGGCAGGAAAAGCTCCTTTATCAAAGACGGGATGGAAGGGTTAGGAATGTGGGTGAAAGGTGAAGGTGAGGTGAGGTGGAAAGAGCCGTTGGGAAGGAGGGGTGAAAGGAAGGGGCGGCCCACCTCTCACCCGAAGCTTCAGTAGTTAGCACCATGATCAATCGCAGTCTGCGTCAGATACGATCTGTATTTACTGCGGTCGCTTTTCTCAAATGCTAGATGCGACGATGCGGTCACTTGATTGCGTTTATCAGATGACTTTCATCATTCAGGTTGAAATTCAGGGCACGCGATACTTCAGAGATTACGTATTGACAACTCTAGGTATCTCAGATTTGCCCTGTTGACCAGCTAGATCCTATCGACGTATCGCCTCACAAACACTCATTAACCCCTTCCGCGTCTTAATTTACTACATGTACTGATATTCTTTCGAGCCGCCTATTTTTCCTGTGCTAGAGTGACTACTTTCCCTGTGGTAGCACACTACGTTTTACCGTCGTCTTCATCGTCGTCGCTGCCGTTGCTGTCGTCGTCTTCTCTACCTCTATGTCGTTATCAGCGTCTTCACTGCTAATGTCGTCGTTGTCTTCGATAAGAGCAGTTGAGCATACAGTAGTCAATCAAGCACAGGAAAATTGAGCGGTCTCATTCTTTATATCTTGGAAATAATTAACCTTACCGAAACACCTAGGCTACGTCTTACAAGATTGTAAGCAGAACCAGCCTATGTTTCGGATATTAATGTGCTTCCGTTCTTTTTAGATAAAGCAGCACTAGACCTAGCTTTATATCGACTGGAGCTACAAGAGCAGAGACTTTGTCTCATTTTCAAGCTTGGTAGCAAGCAAACATATTGATCAGCAATGTACTACATCGAATGACCAATGGTCAAGCAATTTTCATACCTCTTTTTCCCCACAAATGCAAACCAGCAAGCTGAAATAAAAAATTTCATAAGTGTCTTCATTAAGACGAAACAGCTTGATCTTTCGAAAATGATTACTTGTCCTGGAAATGCGCACGTTATCTTTACCGCTTCGTTAAGTGACAATTTCAAACATAGACTAGCAAAACGCTTCGAGAATGAGTGAAAAATCAAGAGAAGTTCGATAAGATTAAAATTGGGGTTTTTAGAATGCTTCATGAACGATGAAGTTTGTTATCTAACAGCTAGTAGCGATCAGATGGAAAAGCCGACGCCGACGGTAGAATGCAGCACGATCTTGCTCTTCATTTAAAGCAATTATTTAGTTCACCTCTTATTTCTCACGACTTGTAATCTGAGTTCCAGCATATGATGTCCTATGAAATCTAATGCAAAGCCTCTTTAATTCGCTGGGATGAAAGTTGCAAAGATGTTTAGGAACTACACGGGCGTTAAAAAGCAACGCTTGACATGCTTTTCGTCTTGTTCACGCTGTTGTAGCACTTTGACCACAAAGACCTGAGGCCCCAAGAGGAGCCATGATTCCAGGTAGATAAACACAGAGGAGGTTCAAGCGAGAGTGATCATCAAGAACTAGTGAGCCCATAGAATTTCAATACCTTTCATCACGATTCTTGCGCCGTCTGAGTCGATTAAGGAGCTATGAAGCTCGTCCGAATAATCCTTGGCATCATTGAGCGCATTCACATGGGTCAGAATAGATTCATGTCTAAACTAAAAACAGACATGGATCATGAGAAAAACTTGGTATTCTTCCAGTATCAGCGGTGACTTGCAAACTGCTGCCGGAGTTGGGAGCGGCGCCGGTGAAGTCAAATGGGCTCGGTGAGCGGCCTCAACGGCCATGGACCCACTAAATAAGGCCAAATCGCCCCATTAAAAAGTTCCTGGGACATGGACGCGCTAGCCATTTCATCGTCACTGACCTGAGCTCCCGATCACGAAATTTCGCGACTTCAACTCCCAAGAGACGTCCCCTCGTCCAACACCTGCTCCCCCGGCCACAATGGCTTCCAAACGATCCCGCGACACGTCAGACGCCGACGCCGGTCGGGCTTCCAAGCGCAGCAAGAAGCCTCGCGAACACCAGAAC